CCACTCTTGGTCCAATCAGAGCTGGAGGATTCTGTGTCTCAGGAAGCTCCTAAGGTTGCAGGGGAATGGGTGGTTTTGGGGTAGGTTTTATGATTTATTATGTGGGGATTCTGAGGAAGTGGTAATATGAATCTTAAAAGGTCTTATTAATAAAAAACCTGAGCCAGATATTTGGGTGGAAACTGAGAGATCAGAGGAATAGAACAAGCCAGCCACAAGTTCTTACCACTAGGAAATCCTCAGCTCAAGAGTGCTACTCTCTGTGTATTCATGCCTTATACACTTTTCTGTGCCCTGCTATCTTACTTCCTCTCTCCACCCAGCTCTATCTCTTCCTGTCTGTCTGTACAGAAATACAGACCTCTATGGTTAAACTAGTGCTGGGATTAAAGGCATGGGCCACCATGCCTGGTTGTGTTCCCAGTGGGACCTTGAACTCCCAGAGATCTGGATGAATCTCTGTTTCTGGAATGCTAAGATTAAAGGCATGTGCTACCACTGCCTGACCTCTACGTTTAATATAGTGGCTGGCTTTTTCCTTTGATCCCCAGGCAGGCTTTATTTATTAGAGCATAAATAAAATATCACCACAAGGGAAAGAAAATAGGAAAGAAGAGATAAAGGGGGTGGGGGTTTCCAGTGTGTGCACCTCATGGGAAGAAAGTGGAAAGAGAAAAAGGGTGGAATTTTTTCCTTAAGAAGTGGCTTCTATGTCATTATGTAGGGTGGCCCCAAGGGGCAGGTCAGAATATTAACAGTAGGGAGTGGGTCTTATAGATTGCAGGGTCTGACGGAGGATTTTGGTGGGGAAGGCTGCCCACAGGAGTCTTTCCTGCTTGCCAGCAATGGGTGTGGGTTTTCGTCTAACATCTAATTGTGGATTTTCCTGTCAATTATATCTCTGGAATGTTCTATAGGTCCCTTTTTCTTTTACTTTGTCAGTATTTGGGTATTTTATGGTGGTATACTGGAGCCAATGACATTCATCTACCATATCTGAAATTATTACCTTCCGTCTTTAAATTCTCTGATCTAACCACTTACTTAAAATAGATCTATCCCATAGAACAGATATTATTTGAGCTTTGCTTTTGTGCCAGTGAATGAATTCCCTGGGAGCTGTCCAGCGGTGCTTCTGATATCTTGATAGACTAGCTTTGGAATTGGCTCCCTAATTGACCCAAGACTGAATATCACAGAGGCTATGGAATGCCAGTTGTTACATAGAGCATATGTAACAGTTGTACCATCATTCTCATATGTATTAACTCCTGGTGAAACAAAAATACAGTAAATTATTTTTTTTTAGATTCCTAATATTCAAGTATATGATACAAAGACAAAAATATTAATTGACATTAGCAACTATGAAAATGCACATTAAAATAATGATAGCTTTTCCACTGGACTGTTAGAAGTGTAACAAAAACACTCACCACTGGCAGAAAGGGTGAAAATGAGAATTGTAGGTTATTTGGAAAGCCATCTGGACACATCTATTAAAAACTGAAAAGGCCCATATCTTTAAGCCCAGCATTCCCAATCCTAGGCAATTACCCCATGAAAAATAAAAGCATCAGGAGGCAAGGTATTATGTTCAAGGGTGATTATTAGAGATTTTATTATGGCAAAAGACTGAAACAAAGAGAAAAGCAATCAGTCAAAAGTTAAATGGATTGTAACACTTTCCAGTCAGGGGCATTGTGCATCCATTAAAAAGAATTTGCTGGATTTTTGCCAGATGAATATGAGTAATTGCAACAATGCATGGAATTTGATGGTGTTCAAAATATGTGATACTACTAAGCATGCAAATACACAGACATACTAAAAGAACATCAGAAAATACTAAATACACAAATAATCAATACAAAAAGGGATAATCATGTATGAAAATAAACAGATGCAATGAAGAAGATGGGGAATAAATGGTAAGTATGGCTTTGGTTTGATTTTGTGTTTGTTTTGTTTTAACTAGACCAGGTCTCATTATATACCACAGTCTAGCCTGGAGCTCATTTCACAGCCCAGGACATTCTCAAATCTGTGATTCTTTTATCTTTGTCTCTTAAAGGATATAATTATATGTTTGTGCTTCATGCACATCATAAATACATGTTTTTCAAGGTAAATGATTTCAGGTAATTTTCCACATAGGTTTTTTTTTTTTTTTGCACTGAGTTATTTTTATTCACTATGTACGACTTCTATCAGATACAAAAATAACATAAAACACTATTCTTGTGATAAGTGTCAGCAAACCTGAGAATGACTGGACCTAGGTGTCTATTACACAGTTAATATTCCACTTTATAATTGATGCATATAAGCCCATTACCCCATTTTCTGTATGATGGCCTGGCTTGTTGCTAGCTGAATGCCCAAATAATCTGTGATGAAAGGGAAACTGTGATGGGAATATGTTGTATGAGAAAAAATGTTTTCAATAAAAAATTACTTTGATATTTTATCTTACATGAGTCAAAATGGCCAAGATCAATGAAACAAATGACAGCTCATGTTGTTGAGGATGTGGCATAAAGTGGACTCTAATTCCTTGGCTGGTTGGAATGCAAACTTTTACAGCCATGATAGAAATCAATTTAGTGGTTCCTCATGAAGCTGGGAATCAGTCTCCTTCAAGATCCAACTAAACCACTCTTGGGCATATACCCAAATGATGCTTCACCCTATTGTAGAGATACTTGCTCAATCATGATCATTGCTATTCTATTTGTATTCTGTGAAGTTTCATTTATTAATTGTCAATCTTAGTGCCTGTGCTAACAGTGCTTTGTTCAAAAGACCTTTTCTGTGCCAGTCAGTTCAAGACTATTACCCACTTCTATCAGATTCTATGTATTTGGCTGTATTTTGAGGTCGTTGATCCATTTGCAATTCAGTTTTGTGAAGGGTGATAAGTATTAATCTATTTGCGGTCTTCTCCATGCAGCCATCCAGTTTGACCAGCACCAATTGTTGAAGATGCTTTTTTTTTTGTTTCAGTGTGCATTTTTTTGTCTCCTTTATCAAAAACCAGGTGACTATAGGTGTGTGGATTTATTCCTGATCAAGTCAAGGTCATTGATCAATGTGTCTTTTTTTGTGCCCAATGCCATGCTAGTTTTATTACTATTGCTCTGTAGTACTAACCTGAGATCACGAATTGTGAAACCTCCAGGAGTTCTTATACTACTTAGGATTGTTTCACCTTTCCTGCTGTGCGTGTGCGTGTGCGTGTGCGTGTGCGTGTGTGTGTGTGTGTGTGTGTTTCATATGAAGCTGAAAATTGTCCTTTAAGTTTCTTTGAAGAATTGTGGTGGAATTTTATTGGGAAGTGAATTAAATCAGTAGATTGCCTTTGGTAAAATGGACATGCCTGCTATATTAATCCTACTGATCCATGAGCATTGGAGATCTTTCCATCCCTTCAGTTTTATTCTTCAATGTTTCAATGTTTTTATCACACAACTCTTTTACTTGCTTAGCTAGAGTTCCTCCAAGGTATTTTGTATTATCGAGTCTCTTGTAAAAGGAGATGATTTCCTATTGTTTTCTCCCGGTCTATTTTTCCATTTGCAGGAAGATTACTGATTTTTCTATGCTAATTTTGTGTCCAGCTGTACTAGGTAATCTGGCTCTACTTTTCTGAAAGTGTTTATCAGTTGTAGGAGTTTCCTGTCGTGATTCTCAGGTCCCTTATATATTCTATCATATAGTCTGGAAATCAAGATACTTTGATTTCTTCCTTTACTATATAATATATGTATATATAAAATGTGTGTGTACTATGCATAACATACAATTTAAATTTAAATGTGGAGAGCGTATGGGATTAGGTGGAGTGCTGGAATGCTGTTTCCTGTTAGTCACTGCCTTCAGTCATACTGTGATAGCCATGAGTACAAAAGACAAGGTTGTTGCCGTGAAGAAGCAAAGTCCACTCAGAACTCCAGACAAATGGGACTCTGTGAAACATCTCCTACCTGCCCTGGACACTTATAGGATGCCATAGTTGACAGTTGTCCCTGGCTTGGGGCCCCCATCTCTGTGGTGCCTGGTGTCTTCTCATGTATAAAGGCTTGGTGTGGTCATCCCATGGCCTCCTCTGCTGAGTTGTAGCTGTCCTCTCCCCAGGTCCTTGTTTAGGTAGGTCCTTGGCATAGATCCCAGTATGTAAGCTTTCTACTGCTATAGCACAGGCCCTGTTAAAGGTCTCTTCAAAAACCACACTGTGACTCAAACCCTTTATCAACCCCACCTCCCACTATAACACACTGAAGTTAAATTAAACCTTCATCCCCAGAATCCTGTATATATTTCCCCCACCACATAGCCCAAACTTTCCTGCATACTTTCAATTCCTTCCTAATCCCAGCCCACCCCAGTAGACACGGTGCTTCTTACCATCAACACTACAGCATATACCATGGCAATGAACTATTATATGAGGTAACAGAGGCCTGAGCACACTTCCATCCACCTTCTTCCTATATGCCTGCATGTAGCATTAGGAATGGCCACACTTTCCCACACTGTGCCAAGAACACTGTCCCAACAATTGGGAGGTTGTACATGTGATGAGGTTGTCATCTTATTAAGAAAGCCTGAACACATAATTACCCTTCCCATGTAATAATGTGTATGTTGGTAGAGGAAGACATGTGACATCAATGTCATCTAACTGCACTTTGACATACATGGATGTGGACCTGAAGACAGTACAACACATAGAAGCACATATACAAAGTGAAAACATGTATATAAGTGTATAATTAAAGGCTAGAGTTTCGCCATGGTGTTTCTTGTGATAGTAACATTCATGTTTATTCCCATATTGGCAGCTGAGCACAAATGAAAAGACTGCTTCTGCCAAAGACTGAAATCCTCAGGCAGGAACATACATCTGTACCCTAAATAATTTGCCTACCTTCCCTGGACAGGCAACGAGTGACAGCTATCTGTGGGCTTGCAGACAACAACGTTTCATCCTTCTTTACCTAGGCTGGAGGATGGAGTCCTGGTCCAGTTACATCAGTGTGGCTTCATTCCAAGGCCTCTCTCCCTGGTGAGTGGAGGCGTTTATCTCCCTGTGTTCTTGAGTGGCCAGTCCCACTGCTATGAGTTTTCTGATCCTTGCTGTTTCTAATTCTTCTTTGCATGAGCTGTCCTCAGTCAGGTACACTTCAAGTACCTCATTATGTTTCAGTCTCCCCATTTAAGGTCCCAGTAAAGAAGAGCCTCACACTAAGTGAGTTATTCACATGATGAATTTTGGGTAATGTCAATCCCAGAAAACAGCATAAACCTATGCAGACATGTGGACTTGCTTTGAATACTAGCCCTCCTTGGTAGACCCAGAGTCACCCTCAGTCAAAGACTACAACTATTACTGGGGCATAGATTTATCCTGTGAGATCACAGAGGCCTTACCTCACTTCATTCTGAGAATCACAAAGGGCATTCAGGCCTCAGTTATCTCCCAGTTTGGCCCATCCTTTTTCTCTGCCAACCTACGTATAAGCATCCTCAGAAGCAGTTAGCTTTGGGAGGTATTTCTCATAGACCCTTCCCTGGGAATCATCTACATTCATTTCCTGTCAGCCATCCATCTTCCCACAGGTACTTTAAGCCTTGAGAGAAGGAACACAGTTGAGAATGCTGCTTCCTCAGCTCAAATGTCTGAACCTCATACTCTGCCTCATCATCTCAGATTTTCTATATCCATCATGGTTTATTGTTGTCACTTGGGCTTCACAGTGCCATCTGCTGCCCCTTGTATCTGGTCCCAAAAGGAACCATACCTTGTTTCCTACCTCACATCTATGTACCATTAAGCTATTAGCTTGACTTGGGTTGTGGATTATTAGCTGAGTGTTTGCCTTCAACGCTTACGATCCTGGATTTTAGGGGGAATGAAACAAAAATACATAGATGAATAGTGAATAAATATATACAGTGTGGATGAATCACAAAAGATGTTGTTGCTGGCAGAGCCCAGTTTGTGAGGTGCAAATACTCCTGAGAGCACCTGTTTTGACTTGTCTCATCCTCAGCCAAACTTCTGCTTGAATAAGTGTGTAAAGGGTTGATTCTGCTGTCCAGATACTTGCCAGGTCCTCTGTACCCATGAGCTGGAAGGTTATGCAGTGATGGGCTGGATTTGCTAGCCCTACTCTGACCTTGGACTCTTTGTCAAGCCCATGGCTGGAGCTGCAAACTCTCACCGACCATGTTTCCATTGTGTTTCTTGTGAAGGGATGGTGGGTGTAAAACATTGACTGACTTCTAACACTGGTGACTGACAGCCACTCATGGCCATGCATTCTCTGTAATGATTCAGAATATTGTAAGTCTCAGGCATTAATTGTGAAAAGCATGAAAGCTTTGGCTGAATTAGTCTGGCTCTGATGTGGAGACAGAAAGTCCAGCTCCTGGACTTTACATTCAGATAGCCTCTCACATAACATGACTCATGAGTCATGACTCATGAATGTAGGTGTCATTTGGAGATTGTGGAAAGTCAGCTTGCCTAATGGAAGGACAGTGTTTTACAGCAGGTAAAAGGAGTAGCCACCATTGTATCATAAGCCTGGCATGTGCTGTCCTTCCCATGGGCTGTTTGTGGCTGTTGCTGGCTCTCTACTGTGGAACAAAGATTATATGTGGCAATATTTGGTTGCAGATAGACTTGTATCATTTGTTAATATGAGAAACTGAACTCTCTATTCAATGTATGACCATCTCTTGGGGCTGAAAAGATGAAGTTTGGCCAAACCTGATTAAAAGACTGGAATTAGAACATAAAGTAGAGTTGATTTTAAAGTCACCTGCACTAGCATCAAATCGTACATTGATGTGTTAAGTCTATGTTGAAACTCACAGTTGCATGTGGTTTGGGTTAAATGACCACCATGAGTTTGCTTCACAGTCGGGTGAACACTTGTGCTACTTTTCAGTGAGCCAAATCTCTTTCAGGTTCTATAGCCTCAAGTCTCTGACAGCAGAAATAGTGGCAGCCTAGTTGCCCACTGTTTCCTGGTAGAGATTCAGATCTTCCACTACCCTCATAAAGAACCCAAATTATGTTTTAGGAAGTCCATTTTCTGGAAAAGGCCTGTTACCCTGCATTAAAACTGACACATGAAGCAACATGGTTATCAGAATGATGAAGAGAAATAAGAGGGATAACACTAGGAAGCAGAATATAAACACAAGTTACTGCTATGCAAGTATAGACCCTGTTCAGCAGTTGCTGAAAGCCAACACTGCACCTAATTTGTAATTGAAATTTGAGATGGCCTAGGAGTTTCCCATTGTTTGGCTGTTCTTTGTCCTTCCTATTTACCAGCAGATAGGCACTTGGTGGTCCCCATGTATTGGCTATTGTGAATGGCACTGCTATGAGCATGTGAGCACACCTCTGATATACTGGGTCTGTGTCCTTTGATCTGTACCCAAGAGTGTGATTATTGAATCTTGTGGATGTTTTATTTATAGATTATTGAATCTATGTGTTTCATGAAGAGCTTCTTTGTTGTTTTCCAGAATATCAGGACATTCATGTTTATATTTTTTTCTATGATTCAGTGAAAATTAATTTAACTAAAAAAAGTACCATAAATCTGTTGAAGCCCACAGTTGATGAGCTTACAGACCCCATAGGTGAACCTCCTACTACTATTATGCAAAATAGACAGAGGATCAAACTGCTTGGAAATTTCCATTTGATTTTCTAAGGTCTCTTTGGTCCTATGACCCAAATATGTAGCATTTTCATCAAGTTCTGGAGCACCACAAAGATCAATGAGAACAGTCTGTAGCAATGAACTTTTTAAATTCAGTAGCTCCAGCACTAAAATTGTAGGCAGGTAGCATCTAAAATACCAGGAAAATTAACTAGGAAAGTGAAAGATCTTCCACTCAGAAACTGTTGGAGACAAAGGTAATAACAATTTTTTGCCTTCTACCCCAGGTTAAAATTTCAGAAATAATCCATCCTGACTGACATTTGTAATACAGAGATATTCTATGTATACTGCTGGAGGGGTCCACCAACAGTTTCTTTCAGATCTTTATTTTTGAGATATAAATAACAATCAGTGTAGGAAGATATACCTACACATGCAATAGTGGAATGAATGTTATGGGTGTGACTCTCCTAGTTACTTTGCTACTGCTGTGATAAAACTAACAGAAGAAAGAGTCTATCAGGGTCTTACAGAATGAGATGGCAAGTCCATGGTCATCATGGAAGGGATCACGGCAACAGAATAGCAGGCATGGTGCTAGAGCAGTAGTTGAGAGCTTATATCTTGAGATAATAATCGTGTGGCAGAGAGAAACCTCAAAGTTCACTTCTAGTGTCACACCTCTTCCTTGAATGCCATACCTCCTAATGCTTCCAAAATAGTTGCCCCAACTGGGACCAAAGTACTCATGCATATGAGCTTATGGGGCCATTCTCATTTAAACCACCACAGTGACCAACTACTTTCTGATTAAAATTATGATCTAACCCACAGGAGGAAAAGCATACTTCCTAGTGTAAATCTGGAGAAGAACCTGTGGCTAGCAAACTCACAGGCCCCCAGGGTGAACTCACCACAATACTATATTAAATATTCATATAAAAATGCCTTCTAAATTCACAACTCTATAATTATAGGTATAGAGTGGACAACCTTGTCTTATTCCTGAGTTTAGTAGAATAGATTTGTGTTTCTCTCCATTTAAGTAGATGTTGGCTATGGGCTTTCTGTAAACTGCCATCATTATGTCGAGGTGTGTCTGTTGTGTCTTCAATCTCTCCAGAACTTTTATCATGAAGGGGTGATGAATTTTTTCAAAGGCCTTTTCTGTATCTAGTGAGATGATCATGTGGTTTTTTCTTTCATTTTTTTTTATATTGTGGGTTAAATTTATTGCTTTTTGTATAGGGAACCATCCATGTATCTCTGGGATAAAGCCTACTCAATCATTGTGAATAATCCTTTATATGTGATCTTTGATTCTGTAGGCAAATAGTTTGTTGAATACCTTGATATCTATGTTCGTGATGGATATTGGTCTGTAATTTTCTTTCTTTGTTGGATTTTTGTGTGGTCTGGTTATCAGGGTAAGTATGGACTCATAGAATGAAGTAGGTGATGTTCCTTCTGTTTCTATTTTGTGGAATTAGTTGGGAAGTGTTGTCATTAACTCTTTGAAAGTCTGATAGACTTCTGTGCTAAAACTGGCCTTGAACTTCTTTTTTCTTTGGTTGGAAGAGTTTTAATGACTGTTTATATTTCCCTAAGAGATATAGATCTTTTCAAATTCCTTATCTGATCTTGATTTGAATTTGGTAAGTGATATGTATTGAGAAAATTAACCATTTCTTTTAGATTTTCCAATTTGGTAAAGAACAGTTATTTAAAGTATATCCTTATGGTTCTCTGGATTTCCTCAGTGTCTGTTGTTATGTCCCCACTTTTGTCTCTGATGTTGTTACTTTGTCTCTTTTCTCCTTGTTTTAGTTGATTTAGAACATAAATACAAAAATATTTTGCCTTCATGCTTATTGCATAGAGGGTTAGAATTGCTATGTCCTTTAAGTAGATTTATCTTTTGATGACAATATGGTATATTTCCCTATTTCTTCTGATTTGTTTTGGTTCCACAAGCTTCCTTCTTAAGCCAATTTGTTTGGAACAACGTTTTCATCATTTTACACTTTGGTGATATCTCTTTTGATATTAGGGTGAATTTCTTTAATGCAGCAAAAAATGGATTCTGTTTTTGAATCCATTCTTTTATTCTGTGTCTTTTAAGGCGGCTTTGACACCATTGATATTGGGAGGTAGCAATGAGTAACACTGGTTCCTTTTATTTTGTTGTTGTGCTGTGGGTTTTTAATCCTCCCTCTGTTTATTTGCTGGTATGATATCATTTATTCCTTGCATTTTTTTGATTGGTTAGCCTCTTCAGATTCAAATTTTCCTTCTAATGTCTTCTGTGGGGATTGATTGTAGATAGATATTTGTTTTATCATGGAATGCATTTTTTTCTCCTTCCATTGTGATTAAAAGTTTTGGTGGATATAGTAGTCTTGGCTGACACCTGTGATCTCTTAGAGTTTGTAGAACAGCTGTCCAAAGTTCTTATGGCTTTTAGAATCTTCAATGAATAGTCAGGTGTTATTCTAATAGGTTTGCCTTTATAGTTTTTGATCTATTTTTCCTTTCAGGTTTTAATATTATTTCACTGTTCTGTAAATTTCCTGTTTTGATTATTACATGCTGTGGGGAATTTCTCTTCTGTTTTAGTGTGTTTGGTGTTATATATATTACTTATACCTTATATAATTATAATTATATATATTATAATTATAT